GGTCAGATGGTCAATAGTAGCCTAATGTTCTGTCCCAATGCCTACGTCATTCACCTCACTTCATCTCATGAAGGCATTTTTTTCATCTCACATCATTACAAGAAGAGTGAGTACATACAAAAAGATATTTTGAGAGGGAGAGACCATATTCACATAACTTTTATTATGGTTATATTGTTACAATTGTTATATTTTATGATTAGTTATTATTATTAATCTCTTACTGTGCCGAATTTATAAATTAAACTTTGTCATCAGGATGTATGTATAGGGAAAAACACCTACAAGGTTTGGTACTATCTGCAGCTTCAGAAATCCACTGGGGGTCTTGAGACATATCTTCTGTGAATAAGAGGGGCCACTGTACTCAGAGACAGCTCCACTGACAAGGTGATATTCAAACCAAAATACAAGGAGGGACTTCCTGATGGGCCAGATGGAAGAGTAGAAACCAGCATGGCAGCTCATCTTGAACTACTGGTGAATCAGGACTAGAACTCTTCCACTAATAATGGGAGATAGAATAAAGCACAACAAAGATTTTTTTTAATGTTGAAAAAGTGAAAATCAACACTTTTAATCATTTTTTATTCTGTTTTCCCACTCTCTTCCAAGCTGTGTCTTCTTTCTGCCCTTATAATTTCCCCTGGACTGGACCATTCAGTCCCATAAGCCTCCACATGTGACTCTCACAGTTTAGCAAATGGGATCAAAAGCCCAAACAGGCAAAGTTGGTGCCCTAATAAAACTCACAGGATAAAATACTGTATAAGAAGAAAGCAGGTGGCAGGAGCCTAGATGTACAACCACAAACACAGCTACGAGAGGGAGGCTTGATTAGCCCAATGGGGGGCCAGATTCAGGCAATCCCAAGGAAGGTATGAAGGAAGAATGATTGAGCTAGTAGGATCAAGGATAGAAGAGGTGGCTTTAGCCAGGGTCATAAATCGGTGTGTGCAGTTAAGTGGGAAAAAATTTACTGAAGCCTGGCTAAGGAAGAGAGGTCAGTGCTAGTTCAGGAGTAAGGGCCAGATCTTTAGACTGTGAGTGACCTTTATAATTTATTGTGCACCCCTCTACAGAATCCTTACTTCTTTCCTCTCCATCCATGTTGACCCAGTTAAAAAGAATGTTCTCTTCTACTCATCTTCCACATCCAAGTTGGCAGCTGGCTAGCTCCTCAGTACCCAAGGTACAGCTAAAGTTAGATAAAATGCTTCTCTCATTGAGAAGCCCTTGGATTTCTTTCTCTGAGGCCAACCCCAGTATTCAAACTAGAGCTTAGACATTGATCAGTCCAAGGCAGATAGACTGGCAAATCCCCTCGGCTACCAGATTATTTTCTTTTAACTGTACCTGTTCTCCATCTATCATCCCTATGACCCTCTTTGTCCTGACTGACCTTCTGCTGAGAACCAGAATTGTTCTCTGTGTCAAAGGCAGGAGATTTCTCATTGCAAGTGACGACAATCCAAACCAAACCAACCTAAATGAAAATCACTGGTTTATGTAACTTACAATTCCAGGTATTTAAGACACTCCAGACACCATGCTTATATATTCCTGTCTTTAAGTCCTTGCTCCCTGACAAATCTAAGGCTGGTACACAAAAGTATGACCATTATCTTTAAAATACTATAAAGATTTTTTTCTTAGAAAAAATCTAAGATTCTGTTCTATCTCTACAAATTATGAGAGATGTGGGGTCTTAGGAAAGGAAGTGATTCTCTACTTGAAAATCATATCATTGAAATCTTTTCTCATCTCATATGTAATATCTTCAGTGGACACCTGCTTTCACCTCATACCAGCCTTGAAACCGGATTCAGTACTTCTACAGTTTCCCCCACTAGGAATTCTTCCTATAAAGCATGAACGAGCAATATAAATTAACTAATGATTTTGTAGAGAAGACGATGGGAGAACTTGCATTACACAACACATGATATTTTACTCAGAATTACATTAAATTTTTGTCAGTCTCTCTTCTCTATTACCAGCCTTTGGGTCTCCCTGTAGCCACCCATTCCCTGTGAAGTGTCAAATCTCTTCCTCTTCTAAGCAGAACAGTAGAGCTTTCTGTCATCTCTCCCAAGCCATCTCTGGTGCCAACCAAACTACAGCCCCGGAAACTCAAAGTAGGCTTGTCAAAGCATCAACTTCAAAACTGGATCTCCTCCAAGGGGAAACTTTTGGAATATGGCCAAGAAAATAACATTTTCTTTATCATTTATATTGACATTCTCAAGTCAATCTCCAAATATTAGTTTTTTTATTTCCCTGGATAAAACCAGGGTGTAAATACTTTAGTCACTTTCCATGTCTAAAAAAGAACATTCAATTAAGGCTAGTATGTACAGTTTGTGAGTTACCACATTCTTGGAAATACAAGTCTTTGGGAAAATTTTCTGAAGAGCATCACTAAATCACGAGCAATGTAGGGAACTCACACAAGCAATTTGTTTCTAGTTTTACTTCCAGAACAAAAATCTTGACATGTTGGAGAGGAATTTTAAGGTTATATTTTATGGTGATCATGAAAATAACAAAGTCAAGACTAGAATACATGTGGTTTGGCGGGAAAAATGCAGTGTTTCTTCCAGCCAAAAGAATGAGAGGGGACAACAAAAGAGGAAGATTCTCTCTCTCTGTGGTTCAAGACATTATAAAATTGAGAAAACTTGTTATATAAATTTGCATATTATATTAGTATTTACCTCTGGGTCCTGTTTGATTAAAAGGAGTTAGGAGTAAATGAGCAAAAGGAACTGAGCTTGCACAGACTTTATAGTTACTGATCTTTCTGTTTCTGGCAAGGATATTTTTAGTCACACTTACTTAACCTTATTCATGCTACCCACCGTGTTCTATGTTTTCTTGAATCCATCCACTATATATTCAAGCTTGCCGTACGAAGGCAAAAATGAAAATTCAAGCAACTTACATCACTCTAAATAGACATAGCTTCTTTTAGAGGGCCATTCAGAGAAATATGGTGAACTCATGATTTCTTTTTCCAGTTTTGTTGAGACATAGTTGACATATAACATTGTGTAGGTTTGATATACATAATTAATATATATAGATATCTATCTATATATATATACACACACATACACACACTTGGAAATGATTGCCACAATACATTTAGTTACCATTCATCACTTCACATAGTTACAATTTTTTTTTCTTATGATGAGAACTTTTAAGATCTACTCTCTTAGCAACTTACAAATATACAATACAGTACTATTAACTATAGTCACCATGCCATATATTATATCCCCAGAACTTAGTTATCTCATAACTGGAAGTTTATACCTTTTGATCACCTTCATCCAGTTCTCCCCCCAACCACCATCAAGATTTTTTTGAGGGGACAAAACTTGTAGGGAAAGTTAAGAAGTTTATGAAAAAAATCTTTCAACTTTCTTTTTATGTATTTACATCAGACTTTGAACTTTATCACATTAATGAGATTCACACCAGAGAAGTAGAAAGTGATGCCACTTGGCACTCCAGATATTAGCAGGCTCCAATACTGGTTACAATAATCAGCTTTGCCGGGGTCCATATGTGTCAGAATGGGGACAGCACTGTGGTCATGGCCCAGAGCACCCAAAGGACACAATGCCTCAGTCACCTATGTCTCTCATTGACAACATGGAAAACTTGGCAAGGACATTTGGATTTGCAATTAAAATTGTAGGAAATTAACTTGCTTACTGAGAAATGTGCCTATCATCAGGAAAAATGTTCATTCTCTAAAGTTTACTTTTTTCATCTTTAGGGAAAAAAAAAGCTTTTGGTAAGTTGTAGGTTTTTTGGTCTGTCTCCTCCATTCCTTACAACTATAGTCAAATGAGACAGATGATTCAAATTCTTTAATATATTAATTTAAATTCTTATCTGGTAGCAGAAGCTACCACTACTAAGAGATCATCTGGGCTATAAAAGATGTCTTTTTTTTAAATTTTATTTTATTATGTTATGTTAGTCACCATTCATTACATCATTAGTTTTTGATGTAGTGTTCCATGATTTATTGTTTGCATATAACACCCAGTGCTCCATTCAATACATGTCCTTCTTAATACCCATCACCAGGCTAACCCATGCCCCCACCGCCCTCCCCTCTAAAACCCTCAGTTTGTTTCTCAGAGTCCATAGTCTCTCATGGTTTGTCTCCTCCTCCGATTCCCCCCCCTTCATTTTTCCCTTCCTACTATCTTCTTCTTTTTTTTTAACATGTAACGTATTATTTGTTTCAGAGGTACAGGTCTGTGATTCATCAGTCTTACACAATTCACAGGATGAATTGAGCCTTCTCTTAAGCATTTTCTGTAGTTCCTGGCAGAAAAGATTTTCTCTGACTGTTACAGTTACTATTTTTGAAAGCATTATTATACTTTTAATACGTAAAATTATAAAAAAATTGAAAATCACCCACAATTTCACCACCCAAAAAAAGTCAAATTATTTTTAAAGGAATACATAAATGTTTCAAAAATTCAAATAATGCTGAGAATAATAAAATTAAAATTAATAAGCCTTTCTTTCCTCACCTTCTCTGCCACTATTAACTAAGTTTTTTAAAATATTCTGTCAGTTATATACATATACTAAAAAATTCTACATTTTTCTTTTTTGCCCTTAATAATGTTTTAGAAGTCTTTCTGTATGCATATACTGATCTACTCATTAAAAAAATAAATTATGTAGAGAAAGCCATTCACTGTCTTAGCCTGCTTCTGCCTGAAAGCAGAGCCTGAAATAAAGGCTTTTACATGTAGCTTATTGGAAGTGATTCCAGGGATCATAAATTAAGGGTAGAAGAAGTATGATAGCCAATCTCCATGATAGCCCATCGTTCCTAATGTTGGTATTCATACTCTTGTGTAGTCTCCTCCCACACTGCATCACAGTTATTCTATGCCACAGAACACACAGCAGAAGTGGTAGTATGGCTCTTCCAAAAGTAGGTCAGAGAAGACATGTGGCTTCCTGCATGCGCTCTCCCTTGGCCTCTCTCTTGGATCACTCGCTCTGCAGAAAGCCAGCTGCCATGAGGTAAGCTGCAGTCCACATGGTGAGTAACTGAGTGCTCCTGCTCACAACCACAGGAGTAATTTCAGAGGTGGGTCCTCTAGCCCCAGTCAAGCCTTCTGATGAACATGGCTCTACCCGACATCTGAGCTACATGCTCATGAGAGATTCTAAGCTAGAACCACCCCACTGAAGCTGCTTCTGATTTGTTGACCATGGAAACTGTGAGAATAAATATTTGTTGTTTTAAATCACTAAGATTTGAGGCAATTTGTTATACGGAAAGAGGTAACTGATACAGGAAATCAATCAGGGAAGGAGAGAAAGTTAATATAAAGATGTGTTGGTATTGTTATGGTGAACTGATGCTTTACTCAGTAGGACCTTCTGAGGAGCCTTATGAACTGTGTGTCAAGAGAAAATCATTTCTATTAGCCCCATTCTTCACTGGTCAAGCATGATCCATGGGTGTTAACTCTCCAGCCTTCTAGAATACATGTGTGAATACCAAGCGCGTTCCCATGGACTTCCCATGCCGCACCCTGAGGCACATGACATGGCTCAAAGCAAAACTGGCAGGTTGGGGCTGTGTGAACATGGTTGAAACATGCTCTAAACCACAACTTTCACAGCTGGAGGAATAGACAAGGAGTTTTCAATACAACCATACACATCACAAGGTATTTCTTATGCTCTTCCTTTCCATAAATCTATGTTACATGTCCCATTTTTAACATAGCAATTCTTTTTTGGTGTTCTATAAAATACTGAAACTGAATGCATTCACCACAACTACCTTTTTACTTTATGTGATAAGTCAAAGTTTTACTGTTAATGTGTCCATCTATCACTTAATCCAATATGAATTTATAAATTATTTTTAATTTAAAAATGATCTTTTCTTTCAATTTGTAAATTTGTAATCCAATAAATTAATAAAGGGTCATATAGTCTGATTGATAGGACTAAATAAAAAAAAAAATTTGAGTCTCCACACTGTTAGACCACATTGCTCAGGTCCCTTTGGAGTCTCTGATTAAGTAAAGCAAGAGAAATTTAGCACTTTGGGGACCCATTATGAACTGAGATGAATCATCACTTCCTTCTGCACATTAGAAATTGCAGTCAAATTCAACTGTGAGAGATATTTAAATGTTGCCATTTTTCTTTTAGTTTGAATATTGTACTAATTTTTTTTGACTATATAATGTCCCAAAATTAAATGTCTAATGGCAGTATACCTGCACAAAGGAAACCAAGATACTGCTTAAAGTAACAAATGGCTATCACACTTTGTGACTGTTTTCTGAAATTGGATGGAGAATCTGTTGGCAGAAACAGCCTTTAAAATAAAGGCAGTGACTCAACTTCTGAAGTAGAGCCAGGTTCTCAGGCTGCAGGTTGCTGGGGTGGGCAGAAAGAGAACTCATTTCAGGAGAGTACAGGAAGTTACTTAATGCTGCTTATGAGTCAGAAGAGAGTAGAATCAGTTATGATTGGACTCTCTTATCTAGTTATACTTATAGGCAGATACTTTAATATGTGTGTATAAAACATGTATATGTGTATTTTTATTCATCTGTATTCTATGTTTTGCTTTGATAGGAACCCCCCACCCCCATCCTTCCTTCATTTTTGAGTGCTGTGGTAATGAGTCACTGCTGCTTATTACTTTGAAAGTAAGGACTTTCTAGGTCAGAGATTTAAAGAATATATATATATATATATATATAGATATATATATATATATATATATATATATATATATATATATATATATATATATAAAACACTACACATTCCCCTTTATTCACTACCCTTAGTGGGATCTTATAGAAATGTATGTAGTTAAGAGAATGCTGGATTGGACAGAGAAAAAGAAAATGTATGTTCACAGTATCTGCTGTGTGCTCTTTACACACTATTTTACTTAATCCACAAACAGGTATTATGCTTCACTCCGAAAAATGTGGAAATGGTTAACAGGGGCTTAATTATGTTAAGAGATTTCTCCAATACAATCTTGGATGTGGCAAACTGGAATTGGAGCCAAGGTTTGTCCAATCACATGATACATGGTCTTCCCACCACATCATACCTCCTCTGAGGCTTTCCAATATTTGTCTATGCCAGAGTCCAATGCTGGGACATTGGCCAGGTCACTACTCTCTGTTTTACTTTTAATTCTGAAATTAAAGAACTCTGAAAGCCAGTTTAGCTCCAACATCATTTAACTTCATTTTATTTTACATCAAGAGCTCTCAGAGTCTGGCCACTGACAATAAAAATGCTGAATAATATTCATAAACCATGTTCGGGACTAGGAGATCTGCCCCTCTTCAGACATTGGTTACTGCCCTATTTTTCAGAGACTTTTCCATTTGTTTGGATGTTTAGAAATATTTTCCTCAAGCAGAGAGGCCTCAGATAACCTGAGCTCGTCTAGGGATCAGTTTAGGTTCTCTTTATCTGATTGGGGGCCTTCCTTTGTCATCAGGCCAGAATGTCTTGGGAAAATTTTAGGGAATTCTGCTACACAAAACTATTCCTCTTGTGAGAACAGAGAAGGATTTGGGGCCTCTGTCTCCCTCTTTCCGTGTTGGGGAGAACAGAAGGATTGGTAAATAGCTGGGAAAGGCAGGATAACATCCTAACAATCTTATAGTCACTCCTGCACCTACAAATTTTGTCATTTTAATTCTAAAAGGCACTCCTATGTGCAGAGGGTAGGTGATACTTCTGGCAGTTTCAAGATAAGTTATTTTGTTGGAGGTGGTCCTTGACATAGCATTAAAAAACAATATTTCTAGATACCATTAATACTTTAATAGGACTTTTGCTCTTTCCTGGAAGAGAAAGAACCCAACTTAAAAGAGGCACCAGGGTGACAGAAACCTTCTTGCAACTGTTGGTATGAACAGCTGTCTTAAAAAAAAAAAAAAGATCTGATCATCTCTATCCCTTTTGGTCTATTAGTTAATCTGCATTTTTAGAAAAGATCCATTTTTGAAAAACAAAGACATAGAAACTGTGATCACTGCCAATTTCTGTTTGATAAACTAGTGGACAAAGTTAAAAGGGCAAACGGTAATGAAGTAAAAATTAATATAGGACAACTGAATGCAAAGGTTATTTCTTAAGGCTTGATAGTCCTAGCCTTGTTTGGATTGAAAAAAAAAAATGAAGTAAGTATAGGGCTTTGCATAAATTTTTGGTTTCAGTTACATTTTTGTCTTTGAAATTAGAAGCCAAGCTTCAGTTTTGGGGTTTTGAGGGAAGGTTGGTTTAAAGCATACTGGATCGAAGATAACTTTTTGCTAAATAGAACTGGATAGATTCCAACAGTAAAAATCTATTCTTTCTAGGTGAAATCAACACACCTCCTATGATTGTAGTAATTAACCCTCTAATCTGGTAATTGGATTTTTAAGAACTTAATTTGGTGGAACTATGGGAGGAATTGAATAGGCTTTCTTTATTTAAATCAGCCACCAAATAATTCTGTGACACAGAGCAAAGGAATAACCAGAGAACCACAAAATAAAAAATAAACACCATTACTACTACAAATACTTCTAGTAACTACTACTATTAATAATAATAATTACAATTTATTATGTCCCAACCATGTGTCAGACACTGTGTGTAATGAAGTATAATTTCTTGGCAATTGTTTCTTGACACTCTTGCCAAGTGTCCATTTTCATTCTACTTTTTGTGTTTTAATTTGTGCTTCTGCAGATATTTATAAATTAGCCTGATGTTCTCAATAGTGACATGTAATGTATGGTGATTAGCATAACATAATAATAAAAAAATTAGTGACATGTAACTGGTGAGTAACATTTTGCAATACTAATTCAATACTAATATTTTATATTGCCCAAGAGCTGAACATTGAACTCTAGAAATTTTTTTTTAAGATTTTATTTATTTGTTTGTTTTATTTATTTATTTGTTTGAGCGAGAGAGGGAACACAAGCAGGGGGAGTGGGAGAGGGAGAAGAAGGCTTCCCGTGGAGCAGGGACCCCGATGCGGGGCTTGATTCCAGGACCCTGGGATCATGACCCGAGCTGAAGGCAGATGCTTAACTGACTGAGCCACCCAGGGATCCCTAGAAATTTTTTAATACACAGAAATTTTATTATATTTATAAACCAAATAAAAAGTTAATCCTGATTTAAATAATTTTGATATGAGTATTTGATAGTCTTTAATTTTACTTTGCATTTTAATTTTCATGGTTATGAATATTTAACATTTATGAAAAATAATTTTAATGTTTAAATTTTTACATTTACTGTAATTTATAATTGCATAAAATATATTTAAATGTTGTATACGTTGAATATAATCATACTTATTTTTTAATCATTTAGATCAACAGAACACAAATTATGGAGAAATTTTGATAACCATAACATTATTAGTAGCTTTACTGAAACAAAGGCAAAAATTTTAGAATTAATATAAAATTATTTATAATTAATATATATATTTTATCACTCAATCTAATATTGTGAAAGTAACACTCATATATAAGCAATCATGAATAAATTCAAATATCTTTGATATTTTGCCAAAAAAAGCTATACCTTTATGCATATTTTTCATTTTGTTGTGATGAAGACATATTTGTTAGAGTAGAAATATAGAATTCACTTTATTTGGCTGTAACTATTATTTGTAGCCTCTAAATATTTAGAGTTATAGTAATTAACCTCTCACTTGTACTCTTGCTCTGAGACCTGCAAATATTAGGGGTAGACCTGGGGAGAGGCAGTACCGCCTCTGTAACATTCTCCAAATTCCAGACTCTAGTGCTGGACTGGTTCAGAGATCCTCTAGTCTGACTCCTTTATTTTAGAGATGGAGGAACCAACCATGATGACTGACTGCAACCCTATGCCAAACCACAACACTGTCTGCAGAGGACGAGGAAATGGACCCTCTTCCCTCCACAAACAGGCAGAGTAGCATGCTCCTTGTGCACATCTGGAGGACTCCATTCATCTGAAACTTAAAGTGTGGGCCCCAATAGC